AGAGGTTGTTCATTTTCTAGGTTTTTGCTAGTTTAGCTCTTTGGGGTCTTGAAATCATGGTACATGTTTCCACTTCTTCATAAAAGATAAGACACAGAATTCAATCTCCTCCTCGTGTGAGCTCTGTATGCAGGAGTCTACCTCACAGTCACAACTGCATTCAGGGAGATGTGAACATACAGGGAGTCATTTTAAAATTATAATAATTCACATCAACCACTGACACCAGATTAATACACAAGTCTGAAATAAATCTATTTTCACACAGTTTGTCTTTGTGAGGATTTACTTTACCTTTGGAAACAGATCGGACAACAACACAGAGCACAGCAGCAGTCTGCCTGGGTTTAGACTGAGAAGAATAACAAGAGTCATTTATGGACACAAGTTAAGTTGAACAACTAGAACAATTAGAGACAGAATATGATGATATGAACCTTTTTAATTCATTAAGGTCATCTTGACACAGAGAATTAGAAGAATCTTAAAACTGTCCATCACACACCTGACAGGAGACTTTAAACCTCTTATCAGCTGATTTTACAGCAGTGACAGAGTGTTTACACAACAACCACGAGTTCCTGTAAACCAGCTGATTTCCTCTCAGCAGTTCAGCTTACGTGTAGCCTCTCAGAAACTGTCATGTCTGTGGGTGTTGGCGAACTTTCCCTCTCGGAGCAGCGGCCCGCCTCTGGAAGTTTCCCCTCCATCGCGACTCCCATGGATCTTCCCTCCTGTGCTCTCCCTTGTGAAATAAACAAGACAAACCCTGCTGTTCATATCACACAATACCAACAACAAGCTGGCGCTACATTACTAACTCTACTCTCCTCCACTTCACACATCCTGCCCTATGATGTTCCTTATATTCTGTTGTTTCCTGCCCACAAATAAACCTGTTAGATTCTGTGTATTGTGTCTGCTTTTGGGTTACAGCAAGTGAAGCAGAGATTAATATGATTTTTAGCTGATGGCTCTTAGATGCATTCACTGAATTTAACCTTCAGACAAACTTTATACCATCTAAGACAGTGTACTGTCAGTACAATTAACAAAGCTAACTTCATTGGCTTTGTTAATTGAATAATAAGATGGCTGTCAGGATGATATTTCTCCTCTCCTTTCATAAATGATGGTTCAGTATATTCGCTGCTAAAGGAGGTTATAAAGACAGCACTCAAGCTCTTTTGCTAAGCACCTAGAGCATTTGTACCTGTTACCATACAGACACTTCCAGGTCACTTCTCTTAGTTAGGAACGTTCCTGAGCAAAACTATTTAATCATTTGAACATGCCCCTGGATTTTAATTGGGTGGGTTTATTAAAGATGAGCTAACTGCAGTGCAGATCGAATGACGCTGTGGTCCCAGTAAAGTGATCATGCAGCAGAAAGTTAAAGGCAAGTCCTTTTCAGTCGTTAACTTAAACTACTTCCACAGGGGCGACATTTTACCGCTGATTACTGATTTCTGTAAAATACCAGCAGCTTTGATCTAACAGTAGTATTTGGACCATCAGGCATGAGTTCAGGATCACTGGTCAGAAATGAAAACTTTGTAATAAAATAAAAATAACAACAAAAACATCAATCTGTCTATATATCTGTGTATGTACACACACATGTTTGTAGCTGAGTTTTAACGTCTAATTTTATAGGTTGTTAAAACTTGTCATCTGGTAGAACAAACTTTATTCTCTAAAGTGCATCAGTAAACCCTGCAGTCTTTGGAGTTTCCCACAAATCATCTGATTTACATCACTCTTTATCTGTTTCTGATTTATTGTTATCATAGACATTCATCTACACTTATGTGCTACAACCAGTCAGGACACAGGAACACAAACCATTTTCTTCCTCTCTTTCATCTTTGTTTTATTACTTTCATTCTATTCAACATTTTCATTTTACTCTTTAAAACTTTCAATGTTTTTGTCCTTTGAAACAACTAAGAGATGCATGCTCAATAACCCAGGTAAGCAAATCCCAGAAAGTTGATTCTGTTCATCTGATCGTTAATATGCAAGCTGTTATGACTATTGATGAGAGGCCAGGAGTTATACACAGCAGTGTAAGCTGATGGGATTCTCATCTTAGGGATGTCCTTTTCCTTTTTTCACATTTATAAAACTGGCTCAGTGTGGTGCTGGTTTCAATCACTATGCAGCTGCACTGTTTATAAGGAGGAAGAAGTCACTTCAAGGAGGGAAAGTTTGTCACACTGAAAATGCTGCAACCACATCAACAGGGTCAACTTTGTTGGATGAAGAGGAAAATGAAAATATATATTTAAAAAAACATGACTGAGTGTATCTGTGAAGGTACAGACATAATGGACATTCAGTTTGTCTATTTCTTATTACCTTTGTGTTTTGTATATAATCTCTAAATGTCACTGAGAAACAGATGAGTCGATCCTCTGCAGATAAAGTGCTCATTGATTGAAGTTTTATTTTTCCTTCATTTTCACAGTTCATTCATTTTCATAATGCCTGCTAATTAAAACTGACTTCCACCTGTGAGCTCCACAAAGAGCAGTGGATTTTATCACATGTGACTCTGCTTCAGTCACATCCCAGCAACAAATTTAAGTCATTATGTTTTAAACTACATTGATATAAAAAGTCAAGAAAGAACACATGATACAAAAATCCAAAATGTAGTTTGATTTCATCATAAAAAAATAGATACATTCAGGTGTTTAAATTACACAGAGAGGCAGAGTTTACACACTGTGTGTCTTTGTCTGCTCAGCTGTTTGCAGGTTTACCTCCAGTGTGGAGCTAAACTAGACAATAAAGTGCTGTGTACTCTTTTCTGTCAGGATAAAGTATAAGACAGTCTGTACACTGAAGTCCAGCCTGAGCTCTGAGGAAAAGCAGCAAAAACACAAACAGCTTAAAGTGCACAAAAATCTGGAGACTGGTTCATGTAATAATTAAATAAATTCCCCTAGGGATCAATAAAGTATTCTGATTCTGATTCATGTAGGCTTCATTAAAGAAGTGAAAGTGGCTGAGAGACTGAAGGCTATTTTGAACTACTGGAAGCATCTGTGATTGTAATTAAACTCAAACATATGTTCAACATGAGTCCTGTGTGGGTTTCTTTTTACATCTGAGCTCCACAGATAAAAACAATAAAATGGTTTCATGTTTCTGGACCAGTTTTTAAGAAACTGACACAGAAAAGACGATAAGATGTGGATGAGTGCATCTAATTAAAAAGACTCTTAATACGATCCAACCAGTTCACACTGAATGCATCTGGTGAACATGTCATCACAGTGTTGTCTTCAGTGCAGCAGTACTGCTCCTGCAGATGCTTCCTGTCAGATTTCTGTCCTGTAGACTGATCACTCAGACAGG